AGGCGCGGCCATCGGCCGCGGGCCAACGGGGACAAACAACCGACGGCACGGTGCGGCACGAACCAGGCTAGGCGCATGAAAAGCCAGCGGGGACTCGGACAGGGGGAAAATGCCAGCAGGAGCAAGGTCAGGGCTGTGGGCACGGCGAAAAGCAAAACCCTCTTGAAATTTGTAAATGAGATCTGCGCCTGGACCATGTTATTTCTGGACCAGGTCCCTGCCCCTATGATGAAAACGTGCGTTCCAATGTGTTCCTAGGGATTTCTCGGGAACGCACGGTAATTTGCACCTGAGCGGATCTGTTACACGGCATCGTGGCCGTTTGGACCAACAATGTAGCCAGCATTGGGGCGAGAGCAGGATTCCACAGGTATTTGAGAGGACGTCTCAGGCGAAACGGTTGCTTGCACCGTGCATTATCGGGTTCCCCTCCCCCGTGTGGGACGTTTCTGTGGTCCCTCAGCAGTGTGCCACTGTCAGAGCCTTCTAGCGAAACGCTTATGGCTGCAATGCACCCGCCGGCCGCCTGCCCCAAGTCCCCTTCTCGCAAGTCCCTGCAATCCGTCTCGGCCACGCGAAGGGGGGAGGGGGAGGGGGAAGGCTTCTTAGAAGCACCCCTGGTTCTGAGAAGGCGCGCGCCTTGTCTGCAGATGGAAGGCCGGCGCCTTCCAAGAAACAGCCTCCTTACAAGAAGACTCCGCCCCTTCCCCTACCCCCTTGTGCGCGCCGCCAGAGCGAGTCTCTGCAATCCTTCCTGTTTCTTGCACGAGGCGCGCCCCTGAAAGGCCAGCACTCCATGGACTTGCCAGTCGTTAGCTAGAGTGCTGCTTACGTCTCGCGAAACTCGATGAGGGAAAAAGGCAATCAGACGCACAGGCTTGATCGTTCTCCTGCCGCCGTTCGGGCTCGCCCCGCGAGCACCTTCGCCGTTGTATTTCCGTCGTCCCCTCCTCCTCCTCCTCCTCCTTCTTCTCCTCTTCCTCACACCTTTTGCGTTGGCCAAGCGCTGGCTGGCGTGAGCCGTAGCGTTTCGATCCTTGCGATCCACGAAAAAAACAAAAACCCAAAAAACAATGGTAGGACATAACAAAGCGAAGAGCATTCGACAGGAAAGGAAGCCCGTTACAGAGGAGTGCACAACGGCAATCCTTCTCCTCCTCTTCCTCCTCTTCCTCCTGCTCCTCCTCCTCGTACTTCTCGTCCTCTTCCTCCAACCTTTCGCGTTGGACAATCGTCGGCTTTTAAGCCGTAGCGTGCTGATCGCCGCGATGTTCGAACAAGAGAAAGATCGGAACGCAGCGCTCGATCAACCCCAAAGATATAGACACAGTGCGTGCACGGACAGGACGGGAAACCCGCTAGGGCACAGAGGAGTGCACAACGGCAATCCGTCCACTCCTCCTCCTCCTCCTCCTCCTCCTTATCTTTCTTCTCCTTTTCCTCCTACGCTCCTCCCCCTCCTCATCATCATATTTCTCCTCCTCTTATTCACACCTTCTGCGTTGGACAAGCGTTGCTCGGCGTACGCCTTAGCATTTTGATCGCCGCGATCCACGAGAGAAAGACAGATCGGAACGCAGCGCCCGATCAACTCCAAAGATATAGACACAGTGCGTGCACGGCAGAACATAGAAGGGCAGAGAGCATTGGACAGAAAAGGAATCCCGCTAGGGCACAGAGGAATGCACGACGGCAATCAGTCTACTCCTCCTCCTCCTCCTTCTCCTCCTCCTTGTCCTCCTCCTGTTCCTCCTCTCCTCCTCCTCCTCCTCCTCCTCCTCCTCCTGTTCCTCCTCCTCCTTCTCTTCTGCCTCCTTCTCCTCCTCTTTCTCTTCCTCCTCCTCCTCCTCCTGCTCCTCCTGGCCGTTCTGGTTCCTATTGATTATGAGCTTGGCCGTCCGAACTTCAGAACGGCCCTGCACGACCGAGTCTTTCTTGGTTTTGTCCCTCAGCCTACCGTTTGCAGGTGGCGCCTGCCTTGTTTCAGCCTGCCGTACGTAGGTGGCACCTGTTCTGTCTCCCTCGTATCGCGACGAAGTCATGTCGCCATGGCCCGGCAGGCCAGCACCCCACCGCGTCTTCAAGTGGAGGTGCCCCTGCGGCTGTGCCAAGAACCTTTCGAGCTGGTGGTACTGCAAGCACTGCCAGGAGCAGTGGAACCCCAAGACGTGCAATGAAGTTTAGTTTGCTGCTCGCCGTGTTGATAATGATGATGACGCCCTGCAGTCATGGGGCAAGGAGGCCCTTGTCCCACCTGGACAGCAGCCTGGCCATCCGCTTCCACCCGGCCCAGCCGGTAGTGGTCTAGTCCCACGGCCTGGAGGCATCAACACGGACGGGGTCAGTCAGCACCGAGTACCTCAGCACTGCGGCGGCCATCGCGACTCGCCAGGGTTAGGTTGCATTCGCAAAGCAGTATGGCGCGGCTCGTGAGAAGTTGGCGCAGCAGGCCAAGGCGAAGGTGCTGCCCCCAGTCTCTTTGCGCACACGGGCCTCTCAGGCTCAGTCGAAGACCAAGAGTGTGGAGAAGTGCCTCGAGAAAGAGCTGGCGAAGTTGGAGCGATGGCGAGCAGGCGTCCTCGCCCTGGAGAGCGCGATCCAAGAGATGTCTGACGAGATGGATGCGCTGGAGAAGAACTACTCGGAGCTGATGTCGCAGATCAGCTTCGAGGTCCAGCCGCCCGCCCCGAAGATGGACCCTGTTCCGAAGGGCCCGCCCATCAGCCTCCGTGCCCTGATTGAAGCGGAGGAGGTCGACATCATCTTGGAGGAGGACCTGCTGAAGGACTTGCCGAAATAATTCGAGATGTCGCCACAGGACAAAGAGCAGCTGGAGACTCGCAAGAAGTTGCTCCAGAACGGGCTCAAAGACATGGCGAAGAACCTGTTTGGCGCGGCTTCCGAGCATCTCCAGGCAGCGCGCGAGGAGCACAAGGATCACCTCACTCGGATGTCCAAGAAGAAGCGCAAGAACGAGGACGGTGAAGTTGCACCTGGTGACGACCCTGCAGCTGCCGGGGGAGAGCATCCTGAAGCTGGTGCCGATGGAGATGGCCCCCCTGGTGGAGGTGGCGCCGCGTCGCCCCCTGAGGCTGCAGGCGGGGCCTCAGCCGCCGCTGCCGCTTCTTCCTCCACGGGCTCTGCGAGTTCAGCTCCTGCGGCCAGTTCTCGGTCCTCGGGAACTGGCCCAGAGCTGCGCGCCAGGCTTGCCAGAGCTTTGCACAGGAAGGATGCCTCCTTTCAGCCTCCCCCGCCAGCCTCGGCCTGGGGGGGCGGGGGGGGGGGGGGGGGGGGGGCGCCCCCCCCCCCCCCCCCCCCCCCCCCCCTCGGACTCGCACGCTGGCCTCGTAGCTCGAGCTACCTCGGCTGCTACCTCCTTCAGGGAGGTTCGGTTTTGCCAGTCGGGGCCCAGCTCCAGGCCAGGTTCTGGTGCAATCAACTTTTCCCAGTATCTCTCGGGCCCGGGAGTTCCAGGCCTCGGTCATAAGATCGAGCTGTCGCCTCGAAGTTCTGCTTTGGTCATGGTTGGAAGAGTCTCTGGGCGCCTGCTCTGCGCGCGCCCGAGGGGGGCTCGTCGGGCGGGGCGGCCATCCAGGCCAATAACTCCTTGGGGCTCCAGCAGCCGCGCCAATGATATGCGGGACGTGCCCTGAGAGCGATTGCCCATCTTCCTGGAGGTGTCAGTTTTCCCTGGTTTCGGTTTACTGTTTCGACTCTGAAGGCGTGACAGACAGGCAGCTCGACGCGCTGAAGTCTGTCGGTCATTCTCTGTCCCTTGGAAGAACGGCTTATGTTGTAGGAAGAGACTTCTACACGGGGCCAGCGGTTGTCCCGGGCACGGGTCTGCTCGAGAAGTGCCGCGGTGAGATTGCGAACACTGGTGCCCCCGCTTGTTCGGGAAAAAAGCAGTCGGACTACGACTACTTCATTGTTGCACGTGGCCTCGCTCGCGGTGTCAAGTCCGCGAGGAGGTGCGACGACGGCGAGTTCTCGCCGCGCTCCGCTCTCTCTCTCTCTCTCTCTCTCTCTCTCTCTCTCTCTCTCTCTCTCTCTCTCTCTCTCGGCTTTCATCCTGCCCTCTGCCTTTGCAAGCTCTGGGTTTCAGGGGGCCTCCACTTCCCCCCGCCCAAGGTCCTCCTGGGGCGGGCCCTCCTCCTGGCGAAGTTACTCGGGCGAAGACCTTCTTGGAGTTGGGTGAGAAGGCTCTCGAATCCCAGGATGCGAACGAGGCCTCCAGGCTCATCAGTAAGGCTCATCAGTCGTGGGCGAACCTCTCGGAGTACGAGCTTGCCTTGAGGACGGGGGGGGGGGGGGGGGGTCTGGCTTATCGCGGGGCTCGCGGGAAGGGCCCTCAGATAGTCTGGCAGCTGATCCTTCAGACAGACTCTAAGCAGCGCAGGTGCCCAGAGCTGCGAGCGATGAGGTGGCTCTGTGCTCGTTTCAAGACCATCGTGCAGCTGGTGCCCCCGATTGCTGCCGGCGCTGCCCCGCCCGAATCTCGTCGCATGGTCAGCGGGCTGATCAATGCAATCAACCAGTCGGAGTGGGCCCCCCCGAAGCTGGTCCTCTTCGAAAGCGAGCAACGCCTTCTAGCTACCAGGGGCCTGCTCAAGGACTGGGAGTGGAAGTTGCAATCTCTCCTCCCCGCGCTGCTCGATGCTACCCCGAATCTGTTTTGTCAGGGCGCCCAGCCTTTATTGAGGTAGGGAATGGTGCGCGCGTGGCGGGTGATCCTCCCTATGGAGTACTAGAAGGCCCCGCGGGCCTGTCATCCCCTTGGCTTGGCAGGCTGGAGGCCCTTCTGGCTCACCAGAGGGGGGTGCTCGTGACTCGCGCCAAACGCTGCCAGGGAGTGGCCAGGAAAGACTGGCACGCCTGGTTGACCGAGAAGCTCATCAGCCAGGGTGCTCGGAACGCTCACTGTGCTATCAAAGACCCCATGGTTTGGAAGCCCGGCACCACGCTGTCTGCCGAAGGGCAGCTTGTCTCTGACCCCCAACAGTTGCTTGATGCTGAGGTCAAAACGCACTCGGGCCTTTGGCGGGTTCGACCCCCCCCCCTGGGCGGAGGTGCAAAAGTTCGGAGCCCCCTCCCCCTTTTTAGACATCGATTATATCAGGAAATTGAGCAGAGAGTACCCTTCGAGGAGCGCGGTCTCCTTCGATGGATTCCACATGAAGCACTTCCAGCATTTGAGCGACGTCAGTCTGGAGGTGCTCGTTGCGATTCTTTCTCTGTCGGAACGGTTCGGCATCTTTCTTACTCAGCTGTCTGCTGTCCTGGTAGTCCTCCTGGCTAAGGAAGAGGAGGGCTTTCGCCCCATCGGCGTTTTTTCCTTTGGTCTTTCGCCACTGGGAGCGGGCTCGCAGGCCTCTGGCCGAGGCCTGGGGGGCCAGGCTCCCTCGGGACTACTGGGCTGCTGGAAAACACAGAGGCGCCCTCGACTGCGCCTGGCGCCAGGCTTTCAGGTCCGAAGCAGGAATTAGGAGGGGCTCTTGCGCGGCCACAGTTTTCTGGGGCATGTATAAATACCACGAGTTGGTTGATCTCGAAGCCCTCGGAAATTCGTGGTCGCAAACACCAGCTCCCCTTAGGCATCCTGCACATGTGCATCGCCGCCGATCGCTCTTCGAGGTATGTTTGTCTCTCGGGGATCGCGGTCGGCCCTCTGTATGCCACTCGTGGTATCGCTGCTGGATGCTGGATGCACGCGCTGGACGCTTTCGACACTGTCCCTCGGTCGTTTAAACTGCGCACCATCGATCGAGAAGCAGAGGAGTTCACTTCGTTCGGCGCCTACATCGATGACACCAGTCTTTCTGCTGTCGGTTCGAGGTCTTCCGTGCGTGCGTATATCCTGAACATGGCCGCGTTGCTTCTCGCGGGCATCAGGCAGATGCTTGGAGGTCCTGCTGCGTTGGACAGAGTGGCTGGCCCTCGTCTGCTCGCGTCATGCTCTCGGCAAGCAGCTGGAGGCTGACCTGGGCCAGTTCGGAGCGCCGGAGGCCCCCGCTGTCGACCTCGGCTGCGACGACGCGGCGGGAAAGGCTTTCAGGATGGGAAAAGGGAGAACACGCAAGAGGAAGGAGAGGAGGAGGAAAACGCTCAGGAAGGTCAAGAGATCGATGAATGCACGGTCTTACTTTGGCAGGAAAGCAGTGAAGGTTTTTGTTTCGGGGCCGATGTCTAGCTATACCTTCGGATGCGAGGTCCAAGGCCTCGCTGACTGCGAAGTGCGCGGTCTCGGGCGCATGGCTGCCGGCGTTATCAAGCCCGGCGCGGCGGAACGTTCTCTCACTGTGCTTTCGCTCCTGGAAGGGGGCCCTGTCTGGCGCGGTTCGGTTGCCCCCATCCTTCGCCATGTCAAAAAATATAGCTCCCTTCGGGCGCTTGAGTTCCAGGGGGCCATCGGCTGGGCCACGACGCGTGCGTCCTGGGAGGGTGTTTTCGCTAGCCGTCAGCAGACTGATACCTGGAGGAAGGTTTCGGGGTCCATGAGTGCGACGCCCATGCGTCTCATGCGGATTGGATGGGGCACGAAGAATATTGTAGTTTTTGTTGACGACATGGGCCGCGCAATCTCTTGTGCCCCGCAGTCGCCTGCTATGTTCAAGGTGTTGTTCAGGCAGGCTGTTCTTCGCCAGCTGGAGAGCTCTGCATACCACAAGCTGGTCGAAGATGGCCTGTTCTGTGGTCTTGCCGCTCCAGAGGCTGACGCGGACTTAGCTTGCCCCAGCGAGCAGTTGGCCCCGATCGCACTCCCCCCGTGCTGTCGGGATCGGGCCGTCTTTGTTTTGATCTCGCCACGGCTGGCCCCCGCTCGAAAAAGTTCTCGGCCTGGGAAAAGGGTTCCCTGAGAGCTCTTGTCTGCAATGCGATCTGGACCAACTCGCGTGCGCTGAGGCGCGGCTATCAGGTCAGCCCCCTTTTCGTGCTCTTTGTTGAACTAAGGTGGGCAGCATTGTTCACCGTCTCTGGGAGTGCGAGGCCTGCCAGGACGAGCGAGCTGAGTTGGTCGAGACTGATGCGATCCTGTGGGCCATGGAGGCCCTTATGAACAATTCCCCCGACCTGACATTCTTCATTGGTGCTTTCGCTCATCCTGGAGACTTGATTCCACCCCCTCACAAGCAAGAGGGGATGGATGGCGTGACTGCGGAACACTTGCAACAAAGATCCCTGGATTCTGGTTTGGAGTATCCTGGGCCCGAGTCTGTTAAGTACTAAGGAAATTGGTTGTTAGACGGCAGTTGTTTTTTTATTCCAAAATTCGTGAGCTCTCCAGGGCTGGTTGGGCGTCTGTGATGTTATCTGACCAAGGACACATGTTGGCCCGTGTGTACGGGCCTGTATGGGCCCATTTGCTTGAAACCCCACAAGCGGGAGAATTCTTTAGCTTGGCTGCCGCAGGTGTCAACCTAGACGGGCAGTCCGTGCTATACTCCGATTGTGCCTCTGTTGTTTCCGTGGCTTCTCGGGCTCCTAGGGGCCGCCTCGGGGGACAGAGGGCCTACGCTGGCTCTGTGCTCGAAGCCACCTTGGGCGCGGGGCCTCGTCTAGAAGGCCTGGTCAAAGCTTCGGCGCACAAAGATCTGGACGAAGAAGGTATCTCTGCGCTAGAGCGATGGCGCAGAATTGGCAACCGGCTGGCCGACACAGCGGCCAAGAGAGGAGCATACCTTCACCCTCAGGCGGAGCTTGAGGTCTTGCAGAGCACCGATCGCGCTGTCCAGATAGCCAGATATGTCATTTTACTGGCGGCGAAGCTGCTACCGAAGTGGCCTCGCCTCGACGTTGCGAAAGCCGAATGGTATCCGGCCTCCGAGAGACGAGAGATCCTCGGAGTTTGAGGCCTACGTGCCTGCCTGGACGGGCGAATTTTGGCAGTGCATGGCATGTATGCAAGGAAGGCGAGGTGCTGTTTGCCCTCCTCCTGGCCGATGTGTTGTCCCACCGAAGCTCAGCCCCAGTTTTATCGAGC